ACTCTTCCTCATGGTAGTTCATTTCCTTCAGTGTTTTATAATGTATTGTGACAGTTCATCTTTGGTAGGAACTTTTTTATGGAAATTCCTTATACCCTAGGTTGTAGATGTGTTCCTTCAAGGTGGTTATTGCTTATGCCAGGACCCCAGAGATTCAAGAATACAGGCCAAGTTTCTCTGTTAAATTTCTGGCTTGGGATTTCCAAACTATACAAGTAGTGAAAATTTCTCCTAAGAGGCTTTTCTGCCCCTCCCCAGAGCCTTGGATACATTCCTTCTTTGCCACTTCTTTGGGCCATGGGCAAAGCACCCTTTTCACAAACCAGGTAGCCCTTCAGGAAAGCCAGCTTTAGACAGGATCTCCATTACAGTTCCCAGACTAGTCAGGTCCAAAGCCATGCTTCCTATACCCACACATGGCATTAAAATCTGAGTTTCTAGGCTCCAAGGTCTACATATAGGTCTTATACCACGCCCGGGCCACTTAAACGGCTCTGACTTTTGAGGTCTCTTCATTTCCATTACCTAACAGTTCTCTTTCTTTTAAACTCACTTATATTTTTCTATTTTTATAATGGAAAAAGGGTCCTTGTAAATTCCCTCTACGATGTTGCCAGAACCACCCTCTAAAATACATTTTGAGTGCACTCATTTTTCTCCATCTTTAGGACCATCACCTCAGTGCAAGCCACCACTGTATCTCATATGCCCTTCTTCTGCAGTGGTCTCCTTACTGGTCCTCTCACATCCACGCTTGCCTTTCCCCTACCCACTTCATACACAACACTGCAGGCGGAGTTTAAAAGCCAGAACTTTAAAAAATGTTAATCAGATCATACTGCTTTTTGCTTAAAATCTTCCAGTGACATATGATCCAGCAATTCCACTCCTACATACCCAAGAGAAATGAAAACATACGTCCACATAAAAATCAATACATGAATGTTCATAGCAGCCTTATTCATAATAGCTAAATTCCAATTTGAATTGGAAACAATTCAAATGTTCATCAGCTGATAAATGGATATATAAAATGTGTTATATCCAAAGTAAAAAGGAATGAAGTACTGATACATGCTACAAAATGGATGAACCTTGAAAACATTATGCTAAGCGACCAAGAAGCCAGTCACAAAAGACCACATATTATATGATTCCACTTATATGAAATATTCAGAATAGGCAAATATACAGAGACAGGAAATAGATCAGTGGTTGCTTAGGGCTGGGGGGATGGAGGGTTCTTTCTGGGATTACGAAAATGTTCTAAAATTGACTATGGTAATGGTTGCATATATATGTGACTATACTAAAAACCACTGAATTACATACTTCAAATGGGTGAATTTTACTGTATGTAAATTATATCTCTATAAAACTTTAAAAAAAAAATCTTCCAGTGGCTCCCCATGGTTCTTAGCATATAAATCCAAAATCCTTAGTATTAACTATTGACCTTGTATTATACAGCTCCTACCTACTCCTCAAGCCTCATTTTAGACCACTCTTTCCCTAGTTCTCTACACTATACAGACACAGTGCCTTCTTTCAGTTTCTCCAAAGAATCAAGCACCTCTCCACCTAGTGCCTTCTCAACTGCCATACTTTCTGGCTGGAATGCCCATTGCTTTCTCTTCACCTACCTATTTCTTATCCTATAGATCTCAGTTTGAGCATCACACCCTTAGGGTAGCCTTCTCTGATCCCCCAGAGAAGGCAGGTCTTCTGTAATACACTGTCATAACAACTCATACTACTTCTTCACAGTATATACCACAAGCATAATTAAGTATCTGTTCAATGTTTGTCTTCTTCACTAGAATGTAAATTTCCCAAAGGCTGAGATCATATATGTCTGGTTCACTGTTGTATCACCTGGGCTTATATACCTAGCAATGGCAGGTGCTCAATAAATTATTTTGAAAAAAATGAACGCTAGTATAGATTAAGTGGCTGAGTCCAACAGTTCTTTATTTACTATCTTCTGATTTATCTTGTTGCCATGCTTTAAATGCACTTATCTTGACCTGTACTTGATATATGACATTTATCTTATAATTCATTAATACCTTGATTTAATATTTTTATTTTTCTATCTGCTGTTCCTTAAGGAAATATGTCTTAGTTATTTTATGGTGCACATTACAGGTACTCAGTGAATGTTTGAGGAATTTGATAAAACTTATAAAACAAAAACAAAAATCTGTAGCATATCTTATATTACTGATCCTAGGTTATAAAATTCCAAAAAGGCAGTAACTGTCTCTCTAAATTTCTCTAGGTACTTAATATTTCAGGAATCATGATCTTAATGATGAAATTAACTTGTTTTCCTTCTCTCAGCTCAGAAAGATGTTTTAAGGAGTTTTTTTCTGCTAGTAAAAAACATTACTTTTGCATTTAGTTTCTAGATGAAATTAATAGCATCTAAATTACATCTGAGCTATTAAATACACAAGCATTAAATATCCAAGATTGATGTATTAATATTACCTTGGATGGAAACCAATTAAAAGAGGACAACGGCTGGCTCTTAAATCTGTTAGCCCAGAAAATTATTATTATTTTTTTATATGTGTGTAAAGAAATGAAAAAAAGAACAAAGGTAGGAAGGGAGGGAGGAAGAAAAGAAGGAAGAAAAACACTACTTTTCTACTCAGGATCTCCTTTCTAGTCTTTCTCAAAACATGTATTTTAGAGTTGTCTTTAAAATGAACAAACATCTAAAAAGTTTAAAACAACTCTTCCCACTTTTATAAGACAATAATATATATACAGAGACCAATGTTCACTGGTGGTTACGAGGGATGGGTGGGAGGGGAGGGGGAATCATTCTCTAGATTGTAGATACTTGTTATTTTTGGTGATGGGAAAAGTAGCACTGAATGTGGGTGCAACGAGCACAGCTTGACCACAGTAAACAATGCCACTAAGAAGCATACAAGAGAAAAGAATCTTTGTGGTAAAGAACATGCCATATATAATTTCAACAATACCAAAAAATGAATGCATAGTCACATATGCACGTATATAGGCATATATGTGTACGGGCAGGTACAGGTATGTACATCTGCGTGCACAGATATAAGTATCCATGTGTATGTGCACATACAGATATGTGTGTGCATGCATATATAGTCACAGAGGACACAGTTACAGATACTTCTCAGACATAACCAAACACCTTGTGAGATTGGTTTTCTGGGTTTGAAGGCTTAGGACCTTAGTCTCATGGGACAACTCAGTCAATTGGCATAATATAGTTCACAAAGTTTATGTTCTGCATCCTAGTCAAGTGAGTAGCATCTGGGGTCTTAAAAGCTTGCAAGCAGTCATCTAAGATACAACTATTAGTCTCTACTAGTCAGGAGCAAAAGAGAAAGAAGGAGACCAAAGCCTCAGAGAAGAAACTAGTCTACAGGGCGAACAGCCTACACAAGCCACAGCATCATCTACCCTGAGATCAGAAGAACTAGATGGTATCCATCTACCACTACTGACCATTCTGATCAGGGCCACAACAGATGGACCCTGATAGAATGGGAGAAAAACACGAACAGAACTCAAATTCTTAAAAAGTCCAGACTTAACTAGACAAGCTGAGACTAGAGGACTCCCTGAGACTACTGCCCTGAGATACTCTTTAAACCTTGAACCAAAACTATCTCCTGAGGTCACCTTTTAGTGAAATAACAGATTGGCACACAAAAGAAAGGATATTACCTGTGAGTACAGTGCTCCATGAACAAACCATCAATATGAGACCAAAAGGTCACTCTAAAGCAAAGATAAGAAGATAAGGGGGCAGGGAAACTAGAGTATTAGAAATGGAACAACCAGAGCACAATTAAAGAGAATGTTGACACACTGTGAAAATGACACTAATGTCACTGAACAATTTGTATAGAAATTGTCAAATGGGAACCTGATTTGTTATGTAAACTTTCACTGAAAACACAATAAAATATTTAAAAACAAAAACAAATCTTTTGTATTTTGTAAATGATAAGATTTCTTGACTTATTACATACATATGCATTCATAAACATAAAATCTTCCTTTAGATGAGCAAAGTAAAATTAAGTCAAGCAAATCTAAATTTTTATTAGATTTCACCTGTTTTCTACTCTTAAGAAAGGGATAACTGTAGCCTGTCTTTAAGTAGATCTGAAATTCCCAAATGGAGTGCATTCTAGTTTTTACACCTATTAAAGTGGAAGATAATAGCACAGTCTACCTTGGTCACATCCTCCAAGGTCTCTTAATCCTGATAACCAAAAGTTCTCCTTACCTTCTACCTTAAATCTCTCCTATGTCAATTCACAACTGCTCTCTCATAAATTGTTTCTAAAGAAATTGCAGAATTGCAGTCACTATCTTTATACCATGTAATCACATACAGTGAAACCTGTGAGAGCTAGAACTCAGTAGGACTGCCTTGTTTTTTTGGGTCTTGCAAGGTTTCCACCGTTCACAGGGTGCAGGAAAATATTTTGAGTTTTCAATCTCTGACAGGCTTCCACCTTACACAGGCTCCGGCTTTCGCACGTTTTACTGTACTATCATTTCCTTTTCTAGTATTCTTCTCAAATTAATTAATTAAAACTGTATATCCTAACTCAATTTCTCCATCACAAAATGGGGAAATGGTGTGTGACAATCTTCTCTCTCACAAGACAAACAGAAAGAAAGACATGCCTGAAAATCCTGTGGATCACAATGGTCTGATCCTGCCATGCATGGGGTGGCTAAGAGTCAGGGGCCGACTAGACAGCAGCTGACAACAACAACATATTCACAATAGAATTAGTATCTATGTCAAATAATCAGAAGCAATTAAGATCTCCACCCAAAACCTCCCAGAGGCAAAAGACAGAACTCAAACTATAATATAAAGATCTGCTTTAATAAATTTATTTGAGATTGGGGAAATTCACACCCATTCCTTTATCTCCTCCTCTAAGCAGAACCTCACAAATTAAATCACTAACATAACATACCTCCTCTTCTCCCTGGCTTCCACAGAGGAGTCTGTTCCAGTAGTTGAGAGCACACTGGCAGTTATAACCCCATTGGCAGTGCTAGGTGGAGGGCGATTGGTGATTACACAGAGCGGGGTGCTGGAAGAGAGACTGTCTGTTGTTTTCTCTGCCGTCGAGTCGGCCTGGGATTTGTAAGGAGTCCTGAAATAAAAAAAGACACAAGCAGAAAAAGAATGGCCAGGCTTGCTACACAACAAAGAGCTGGCACAGAGACAGAAGGGTTAGAGACTGTTAGGTTTAACTAGAAAATCTTCTTGCTCAGATTTTTTTTTGGTGGGTGTATTGGTTGGTTTTTTAAATTCTGAGACCTTAAATCTTGGAACAGTATCAATACATCAATACACATTCAATCTCCCATCCTCTGTCCAAGGAGTTCTATTTTATGAGATATCTTTGCCTGACACTAAATAAATAAATAAATAAAGCCTTAGCTACGGCGCCAGGCAAGATAGTGACACATGCAAGAGTGCTGGAAATGACTCCTCAGTACCATCTGGTATCTACACGTGCATGCATGAAAAAGACACTCAAATCACTTACAGTATTAGTCTCCATCTGCCCTTTAATTCTAGGCAGTGGGCATCTTTGTGGTAGTCCTCAGTCTAGATTTGATGACCATCTTCTTGGATTATCCAGAGACATTCAATAAATGCTCTACAACCTCAGTGCATTTAGTTCTCCCTCACCTAAATCAGCAACTGCTCCCTTTCCACTCTGCCAAATGTCTATCTATATTCATAACTGCATAACTGAGAAACTCAAACAAAAATTACTAGGATTCTATATGTAACCTTAGCTACAGATTTTTTCAAAAAGCAAGCTGTATAATTAAACTCGTCTACACGAAAACAAGATCTTTGTTTCTTAAACGAATTGGGAGCAACCATTGGCTCTCTACCCAAAAAGCTATCATTTGTGATGTCACAGCTTGTTGCTGGGGTAACAGAGACCCAAAATTGAAACTCACAGAGATGGGAAAAGTATGAATTTTTTAAAACCTGTTTTTTCACCTACATACAATTATTACCAGAAATGCTTACAAATAGCTATAAACTGACTTCCAAATAATCACACTATTAGAATAAGCTTGGAAAAAATAATCAGATTACAAAAATCTAAACATGGTACTTCGACACAAATACAAAAATAGAACACTTTCGAAGATGGTAGTGGTATCTAAAATATACAAGCCATTTCTCCAGAAGAAATTAATGGCTCAGAAAAAAGGTGAAGTTTTAGATTCATTTTTTAATTTAAAAATTGAAGGTGAATAATTCCTCAAATTTACAATATATATGAGTCTATAGGAAGTACTAATAAAATTACCCAGGAACAAAGCTATAAAAAAATCACACTTATCAAAAGCCTAAAATAAAGTTGTTTTTAGGTTAATGTCATGTTTTGGTCTCTTTGCCATAGTACTGCAGGCTGTTGTGATAAAATGAAATAATAACAAGGAAACTATTTCTGATGATATAAAAACACCAGAGATTTTACTTTACTAAAGCACATAATAGAATCTTTACCATTATTTTGCAATGTAGTATAATTTGACAAGTAGATTGTTACGAGCAGAACAGGAAAAGCTCCAGAGAAGGGATTAGAGGCTGTACAATGGAGTAGAATAAATAGGGGTTTTGAAACCACTTGGGACTCAATTTGAGCCAACGTAACCTCTCTAATCTCTTCTTCTATAAAATGGGGATAAGGATACCTTAAAAGGCAGGGTTCCTGTCATGATTAAATAAAATAACATACATAGAACACTTAATATAGTGCTTGGAATACAATAAGGAAATGGCCAAGAGCTTCCAAATGCACAGACTTGGGTTCAGTTCCTATCTCAGTTCCTTACTAGCTGTGTGACCTTGGGCAGATGATTAATCTTTGGTCTCAATTTCCTCATCTATAAAGTGACAATAATACCTGTACACTGGAGGGGCTCTTTATGAGACTATAGATAATATATGTGTGCCTGAGACGGCTAGTTTCCTAACCCATATCCATCCTCCGCTTCTTCCTCATTAAGAAAACCCCTGTATAATTGAAGGCAGCAATGTACCTCGTTAAAAATCCACATTTCCCAAAGTCTCCCTAGCCACTAGAGGTTATGTGAGACATAAGCAGAAAACTGTTAGGTAGTGCTTCTGGGAAAATTCTCAGTTTGGAAGCATGTCCCTCTTTGTGCCCTTCCCCTTTCCTCCTTTCTGCCTAGAATGCAGCCACCATGGCTAGAGCTCCAGCAACTACTTCAGAACATAAAGCAACCCATGGATATGGAAGGCGTGATCTAAGCATTGTGGAGCAGAAAGACAGAAGGAACCTAGATCCTTTAGTGACTTTGGAGCTGTTGTACCAGCTCTGTTTATTTCTGGACTTTCTGAATTCGAGAAAAAAACAAACTTTTACCTTATTTAAGCCACTATTATTTGGAATTACTGCTATGTGTGGGTAAATGAAATCCCAGTATAATTTTTGTGTGTTACCTAATTCAATGCCTGGCGCATACAAGGTTCAACAAATGGTAGCTGCTATTAGTAAAGGAGTGATCTCCTTTTACTTTTCCCCAGCCCTCTCTCTTAACAGTTAACCAAGTAGCCTCCCCATGTTTCAGTTTCTTCATCTATGAGGATAATATCTACCATGCCTATGTAACCAGATTACTATGAAGATTTAATAAATTTCCAGGTAATTATAAGGTATTATTATTAATAATCCTGTTCCTTCTGGTTAAATAAATGATCATCATTTATTTTAGGGAAATAAATCTGGTAAACTGACAAATACCAATCAAGCACCACCATTATGGGTATTCTTGTATAGCAACATTATCGTTATTTTTTCATCTCAGTTGCAGAAACAAAAGACCACCCCAAAAAAGTCCCTTTGCCACACTCAAGAGCAGAAAGGTCTCTGACCACACCCAGTGGATTATAAACAATAGCTAAAGGCCTGCTGCACTTACACAGTGACATTCTGCCCATGCTACCTACTCACTGAACTAGAAACCACAAAGACATTACCCCAGGAACAAAGTTTAGATAAATACAAGTCTCTCTCCTCCCAAAGTGTTTCCACCAAAACACTCTCATTGGCTGGGAATTTTCAGAAAGCTACAGGAAGCTTTTGGAACAAGAGTTAGGTTTCCTTCGGATTTGGGTTTGAACGTCATCTTCCAAAAAAGACAAAATCCAAGAGATCCCTACCTATAATTACTGGAAAATTAATACAAGTGAAATATGGGAATATTTTTAATACTTGATTTACCACAATAGTATGACCTTAAATTTTAATCACAACTAGTAAGAGAGAGATGTTTTTGAAAGATGAAAGCAGTCATATTAAGTTGATGCCTAAACACCAAGTACACATACATACTCTATATACTCAACGGGCAACTGTTGACCAGCTGCTACAAGTTAAAGCTAAAGCACCCTCATTAAATTACGCACACTTTTGCAGGAACTCAAACTTGCTTCTACAGTGACAAAGTCCCTGGTTCAAATCCCATACTGTGTATCCAGAGGCATTAACTTTGATGACTGCAACTCAAATGGCTCCAAGAAGCCTTACCTGCCATGGTGTACAGATGCAGTAGTGTTTGCACTGATTGCTGCAGGGCAAGAAGAGGCAGGTCGCCCCTGGCAGCCCCGAGAGGTAGATGAACCAATGGTAATGGGTGAGGTAGCAGGAGATGAATTGCGATTGGCTGAAATGTAGGGACTGGTGGGGTCACTACTTCTACCAAATGAAGCACTGCAAAACAGCACATAGTCACTTCCTTCAGGACATGTTGCTCACCCACCATTTCCCAGCACCACCTTCCCACCCAGATTGTGCACTTAAAAGGAATGTAGGCCAGAGAGAATATGACAACTGGGAGTGATCAACTCCAGCTAGAGCTGGGTCACTGGCAGCAAGCAGGCAACTGTCAATCATCCAAAAGAGTGATGGAATGTGAAAGGAGGAGATATGTAACAAAGGAAAGCAGGAAAGTGGAATATAAGACAAGAGAGGCTAAGAAAGGAAAATAATAGGAAATAGAATAATTTTATTAGAAAAAATAATTCCCAACAAACCCCAAGGCAAAAAATCATGCACCCCCAAATGTCTGCTTGATATAGAAGCAGCACTGAAAAAGTTGAAGTAAGACCAGAGATTTTAAGGCGGTTTCCAGAGATTCAAAATTAAAGAGTTAAGCAGAACAGAGGAGTTCTGTGCAAAAATGACCTCGGGAACTGCAATTATTTAGCCTAAAGCAAAAATGCCTTTGGGAGGATTTAAAGTTTGTAAGCCTAGAAAGTATTATTATATGAGCAGTAGAACAATTTTCCTTGTTTCAACTGAAGACAGTTGAGAACTATCTCAAGTGCAGCCATAAATAATTTGGGTTAGAATTTTAAAAATACTTCTTGGATATAATATGTAACAAGACATTTGAGGAAGTGACCAAAAAAAGCTATGAGCCTTCTTCAGAAAAGAGGCATTTTACTGGGCCGTGTGAAAGGAATTCCTACCTAAAGACAAGAGATGAGCTAGCAAATGGAAAGTATGCCAAGGTTTGGCACAGACCAAGAATGACAAATTTCTACTCATGCTTTCATTTTTAAATGGTGATGGCATATGATTCTTTCATCTTGAAAAGATCATAAGATAGGATTTTGTAAAATCAAAACGTAGTTTAGGGTTCTAGGAGAAGAGATTTAGAAATCCAAGGTATGAAGCAAGTTGTATATGTTTTCTCAAAAGTGGTCACATAATTAAGAATGCTTTCCATCCCAAACAGAGGCAGCCCCTCTTTCCTCTGTTCACCATAACTATGTCAAACTACATCTATCAAAACAAATGCTACTCACTCAACCCATATAACTGATGGTTTGGATCATGAAAGTCAACAACCACATTATAAAATAATTCTATGCCTGAAAATGAAATGGCAGCTTTCTCTCCTAGATCTAGAACATTATTTTCTTAGAAAAGATTTCTTGGTCTTGGATTCAACCATACAGAATAACAGTGTATCTAGCAGACAAAGGCCATAGCCTTTAAGATAAATAGGTGATAGCCTCATTAAGGCCAAAAACGCATAGTTTGTGTAATAAAGCTTCCATGAGATAACTGAGCTATACTTGTATACTTTTAAAGTTGAGCCCTTTCTTATAGAATTTATCTTCAAAATTGAAGAATGTTAAAAGGTAACAATGGCTGTTTATTTTATAGCTTACTACTTCCCATGTTCTGACATTAACTAGTTGGCAGTGCCCATATTGGGGAACAGCACTGGATATGATCTGGAGAAGATTCTTCCTGTGAAACGGAAATAAATTTTGATTCCAAACAGCTAATCTATTCATATAGTCTATGGTCAAAGCCTGCTTCCATGGTAGCCAATCAATCATCTTAAAAACCTAATGATGAAGGCTATGGCATGAAGAAGCAGTTGGAGGGGTTAAGTAAGAGGAAATGAAGAAAGAATTCAAAGTAAGCAATGAAAATCAGATTCTTCCACATCAGCAGCAAAGTTCAAATTAAAATACTAATTAAGTATATCTTGTAGCTTAACGGCTCTGGCAAAGGCGCTTTGGTCACTGGCTAGTCAGTGGCAAAGAAAATAATTGCAGAAAAGGGAATATAGATGAGAAAAGGGGAAAGAAACCCATGTACCTTCTCTGCACCAAACTTGCGAGTTTCACATCTTGATGGATCTGAGGGCCATTAAAGTCATAAAAAAAAAAAAAAGACTCAAGTCCCTAAATTAACAGGCTTCAATATGAAACTTCTTTATGCAATACAAAACTGTCCCCACTTCCCAACCCTTACCACCCTATAACGTCCCTCCCTTTTTCCCTCTCTCCAAAAATAAAGCTTGAGATGAGAACTACTCTGGTATTAGAAAAAGGAGAGCCAGCTACTGGACAGGGGTGATTTAAATTCAGTCATGCCCAGAGATTACTAGAAGTCATTTCTGGTTGAAGATTTTAATCGGACTGAGAGGATGAAGTATAAATTCAGATCTGTGGTGAGAATTTGGAAGTAGCTTACTTTAATTCAGTTAAGAGAATAAATTAATTTTAATATTAAATTAGGATGTTAATCCCAAGAAATATTAAAGTGATTCATGTTTTGATTCATTTTTGTGGTGCTAATTGGATCTAAAAAGGCATGCAATTTCCCATACTCCCACAGCCAGGGTGGAGCAAAAATCATCCCCCACCCCTCTGAGCCTGGTACCTTTTCAAGTACGTTGATACATAGGTGGAAGGAACAACTGTCTCTGGGGTTTCATTTCCCTTCACTTCATCCCTCCACAGCTGTCGGGAATGGGAACCACTCCTCACCAGATTAACAGCTGATTCTCTGTGAGGCATGAGAGAAAAACAAAACACAACACTGATTCCTACCATCAGTTTTTGTCAATGATACAATGCAAACCAGGAGAAAAGAGCCAGACAGGTAAACTATAACATGGCTAAACAAACAGACACATTTTTTCTGGTGATTTTCTGTTTTATATACCTGTTCTCTGTATAGAAAGAGGATGAGTATTACTGTCTGCCTCTTTCATCAACTTGGAAGCCAACTGATTTCAGTAAGTACCAAATTCCACCTTTTTATAATGAAAAGTCACTTTTGCTCCTCTTTTAAAAAACCTTGCAGTCATTCCTCAGTAGTGGGTTGCTCATAAATAAGCAGAGAAAGGAGCAGTGGGGACGATGAGGAAGTCTGTTCCCAGGGAGAGAGGTACCACAGAAGGGAAAAAGAAGGAGGACTTGCTGGAAGCCTCTTTAGCAGTATAAATGAAAAGACATCCAGGAAAGGGATGTAGCAGGAATTTTGATCCACAATTGGTTAATTCAGGGTCTTTGCTGCAAAAGCTATGGGCCTCCATGTTTCATAAGGTTCTCTAGAGCAGTCCTTCTCAAACTTTAATGTGCATGAGAATCACCTGGGAATCTTGTTGAGGTGCAGATTCTAATCCAGGAGGTCTGTGGTGAGGCCTGAGATTCTGCAATGCTACCAAGCTCCCTCATGATACTGACGCTGCTGGTGTGAGGCCCACACTTTGAGAAACAAGGCTCTAGATCAGGTTCTGCTCTGAGATGCAGCAATACTTCAAAATCCCTATGTTCATTTTAACTGATGATGAAGACTTTAAATTTTATCTACTTACAAATTAGAAACTGATCAATTCAATTAAATAAAAATATTTTTTAGTGTTTACTATGTAGTAGGCACTAGGGGTACTTGACAAACCAGACAGAAATAGACCCTACCTTTACAGAACCTGCCGGCAGACAAACTATTCCACACCTGGAAGGGCCAGGGAAGACTTCCTAAAGACAGTCATGTCTAAGCTGGAGTTAGGACTTGAAGGGTGAAGAACTGGCAAAGCAGGGGTTAAGGGTTGGAAGATGTTCCAAGCAGAAGAAACAATTTAGAGTGTGCTAAGGACATCTGCGGAAAGAGGCAAAGGAATAATGGCCAGGAGATCACTATGCCCAGCCAAGTTAAAAAGGTCCATCTTTGGCCTATATTAGGATTACCTGTTCTCCTTTTCTTCAACGTCACTTGTGTTGTTAAGCCTCCTGGATACTAGTGAACCAAAATAGCTTTTGTTTTCTCTCTCCTGTAAAATCAAAACAAGTAAAACACAAAGGAAGTTACAATACTGACAGAATACAACATCATGGGTGAAAAAGCGGAACACAACGTACCTATGTAATCTTATTTCTGGATTCAACATCAATTCTGTTTTGAGTGGTATTTTAAAAGGTTAGCTTCCAAAGGCTTATTCCTAACTTTCCTCTATTAAAAATCAGTATGTAGGGAAATAACTCTCATGGGAAAAGCCAGGATGATCAAATAAGGAAAATAGTAACACAAATCACAGAGCAGTAGCTCTGCCAAGAGAGAGGGAGCCTTTGAGAATCCACAAACAGAAAGTTCAATTCCAAATTTCTTGATGAAATAAGTCTTATTTATTCCCCAGCCTATCTTTTCCTTGACATGTAGCTTCCTTAGGGGCATGCACAACACATATACTGCAGAGTTCATCTAACCAATATGCCTCATCCCCTTTAGAAGTCTCCAGAAATGGAATATCAAGCAAGAAAACTATGAGTGTAAGGAAGACCTAAACCAAAAGAAGATCACAGAGTGAGCCCTATAAAATCTGGAACCAAAAGTCAGAAAATAAAAATTTATTCATCTTAGGTGAGTATGTAGGTGAGCTGTTTGTGAAGTTACCCTGATTATACCTCTACTAATGAAAAAAAAGGAGAAGCTTACAATTTTTTTTTCCTAAGTGCTAAACATCAAAAGGATAAGTTATTTGTATTGGTTCAGAATATTTTAGGCCATATCCAGATGTTGTACTTCTGATCCTTTTCTTCACCACACCCTCTCCCCCCAGGTAAGGAATAAGGAGGGTAAGGAAGAATAAACATAAGGTAAGCCAGATGGAAAAGCTTTTAAAATAAATAGCAACCTTGTCAGAAGCATACTTTATTAAACAATCAATGCACCTATCTCCCTTTCAAGGCTTTGTACTTTCAGAATCAGCTTAAAAAACCTGACCCGCTGCTGTCGAGTCGATGCCAACGCATAGGGACCCTATAGGACAGAGTAGAACTGCCCCACAGAGTTTCCAAGGAGCGCCTGGTGGATCTGAACTGCCGACCTTTTGGTTAGCAGCCATAGCTCTTAACCACTACGTCACCAGGGTTTCTACTGAATCAACTTAGGGATTAGAAAATATTACCATTTTTCCCCCAAGATTGAATTTTCGTGGAAGGAAACTGTGTTGGAATTTCCCCACACCCTGCCAAATGCACCTTATCTTTGTGGTCCAGCAGAGCGGAAATCCGAGGGCTTGATGACGAGCGGTAGATGGAGGAGCCTTGGTCTCTTACAGACTCCCTGGAATTGGCCACCTCACTCAGCATATTGTGGCTGCCAGTTTTTCTGAGTCCCAGTCTCCAGGAAGAAGGAGATTCATCTTTGGGCTCTTCTGGCTTGCTAAAAAGGCTGGAGGAGAACTATGAGGGAAGAAGCAAAGAAAACAAAAAGAAAGGCCCTGGTGATTCTTTTTCAGCTTGTTTGCCTTTTCCACACTTAATTGAGCTCAGTGAGGCAACACGAGGCAACACAAGGAGGGCAAATACACGGCAGGCTGTCTGCCAGCATTCCCTTCCTCACCTGGCAGATGCTAATCGTGTCTCAAGGCTCCCTTTCTCCCTGAGCCAGAAATAGCCTCAGACGCTTAACACAGTGCTCCTACCTGACCGAGTTGCTCTGAGAAATTAGACTCTATTTGCTCTTCTTATGCAATGATACTGACCTAGAGCACCAGGAGATCTGCGCTCTAGTAATACTCTTGGCTCACTGTGTAACTGAAAATCAGATACTTCACTTCTCAACATGCTCATCTGTAAAATGGTAATAATGAGCTTGTTGCTGTTGTGTGCCATCCAGTCGATTTCCGACTCATAGCGACCCTACAGGAAAGGGTAGAACTGCCCCATAGGGTTTCCTAGGCTGTAATCTTTACAGGGGAGCCCTGGCAGGGTAGTGGTTAAGAGCTCAGCTGCTAACCAAGAGGCTGGCAGTTCAAATCCACCAGCTGCTCCTTGGAAACCCTATAGGGCAATTCTACTCTGCCCTATAGGGTCACTATGAGTCTGAATCAACTTCACAGCAATGGTTTTTTTTTTTTTTTTAAATCTTTACGGGAGCAGATCACCAGGTCTTTTCTCCCACAGAGCTGCTGGTGGGTTCAAGCTGCCGACCTTTTGGTTAGCAGCTAAGCACCTAACCACTGCACCATCAGGGCTCCCTTAATAATGAGCTTAATCCTTCCTTATAATATGTGGAGACCAGAAAAAACAAGAGGAGCTAATGAATAAATATGTTTTAAGTTACTGTGATCAGATTATAATAAGCTGATTTAAGTCAACACTAATAAAAATACTAAAGGTCATCCCACTCAAATTCTAATTGCTAATTTCAAGAAAATAATTTTATTTAGGGCAGTTCCAAGAGTTTCAGATTCCATTAACCAGCAAAATTTTAAAAAAGAAAAAAAATGAGAGGTCAAAGTGTTACCATCTTTTTCATTTTGCCAAAAGAAAACATCTTTCAGTAAGTGATTACCATTTCTATCACTATCATTTCATTTAAAAAAGAAAGAAAAAAGATATGTTAACATCAGAGAAGAGAGCTTTATGGAAAGCTTACTATTAATATATTGTCTTTAATTATCTTATTTTGTCACAGATCAGAGAAAACATCATAGACAAGCATCAGGCCAAGGAACAGTTTGGGGAACAATTGGTCTTCAGAATACCTGCCAACAGTCCCTTCCTGGGGCCAGAGAGACCCTTGCAGAAGGCTTTGATCTTTCTCCTAATACCAGGCCACCTTTACCACCTGGCATAGTGAAAATACAATCAAAACATTAATCACTAGTCTGCAACTCACACTAAGGTTTTCTCTTTTCATAGGTCAATCATGTCAGCTCTTTACAAGCTACCCTTAGACTAGAGAGAAAAACACCTTTCCCAGCATTATTTTAGTAAAGTAGAATAAGTACATGTGTGTTTGTATTTTTTTTTTTTTTTAATTTAGCATTTTTCTTTATAAAAGCAGGGAGTCTAGCCACACCATACTGAATGGCAGTGTGTGAGGTCTAACTAAATGACTGCATAATGAGCGAGAAATGCATTCTATTTGCAACCTCTCTACTGATTCACAACGACGCTCCGGGGAACAAGTCAGTACCTACACCTTTGTTCCCTTACTTCCACAACGATACCACCATCTCTCCTTTCCAATCTATCAGGTACTAAGAAGAGTTCAATAAGTTAATATCTATAAAGTCATAGAGCTTTTTCAACAGCTTCAATTCCAAAGAACTCCGATAAATTCTTACTCTAAAGAGTAATTTTATACTTTGCAGAGCAGGGTCATCATTCAACTCTGTCTCACTGACTAGTAGCCTACAGATTCTCAGAGACCTGGGCAAAGCTACAGGAAGAGTGGTCTCTGGCGTTCCAACAAGTTCTTTCTATCTCTGCCCTCTACCCAATATAAGGATTTTACTCATGAAAGTAAAATTTTAAAGGAGAAATAGAAAAAGGAGAAGTCATCAAAACAATTAATGCTGAATGCTAGGTATCTTCCTAGCCCAATCAGAACTTTAGGTATAGTTACCTTAACTTCAGATATGAAGAAAATAGGTAACTGACAAAATTTCTTTAGTCCTAGACTATTATATCCTATGTTATCTTTTCTTTTTTTAAATATCTTATGTTATCTTTTTTTAAATATCCTATATTATCTTCAAAAATTATGGCCAAATTTGTTTAGTGATGGTTTTATAGTTTTTTAGGTTTCTTTTTTTTTTCCCCAAGAATATATCTTTATTGTTTTGTAAGAATGTATCTTTAAAGCCTTTCTAACTGCGTGCTATTGTAGTAGGGGTAAATACAATACCCAAATTAATTCCAAAGTACTCACTC